GTTCCAACATTATCTTCATGTGCATTGTAGATTAGGAATAAATATTTTAACTTATCCTTGAGGTGGATTGATTTTAGTCAGAAATGTGAGTTTATTCTTTAAATTTTATCATACTTCCCTTCTTTGTCATGAGTATGAACTCATATATACATGTTTGGGTTGATGTCCAATGAAGATGTTATCGTGGAAGTCAAACAAGGGTGAAAATAGATGATAAGACTGCATTATCTATATTGTTAAGAAAAAAGGGTGTGTTATCTGTCTTGCAATATTCCTTTTCCTATTTTCTTTTTTCTTCCCTAGATTTTTCATTCAGAAGAAAGTCAAATACTGCACATCTTGACCAAGATACTTCTTGTTAACATATAATGCAATTAATAAATGAAAACCTTTTTGGTTTACAACATCCGTTCCAGTACTAAGGAGAATTCACTTCCTAGGGATCTACCTATCTGCTTTTCCTACTCCAGCTAGATCTTACCATTGCCAAACGTGTTTTTGCAGCACTGGCCTTCTGGCTTCTCATGTTTCCTTTCAGGTTTGGGGTGGATCTTTCCTTTCTCAATTATCACATACTCGGTTAGGTTGCCCGTGTGTGTGTCTTTCAATTTAAGTGTTTGAGCAGGAACTCTCTTCATGAATCTCACTAAAATATTGTAGGAAAGCTATGATTGATTTTCTATTCAGGGATTCATTATTAACTATTATGACCCTATTTATTGGTGACAGAATTGTTGAACTTTTATCTAGGGAATATTTCCTTGACATGGAAATTATGGCAAATAGATTTTTCAGGGGTTTGTGAGACTACTCGCAACCTAACCCCCAACAACAAATATACATGGAAGAAATATTGAAGTGTACAAAAAGAAGCCAATATATTATTCCAATTATTCACGATGATATAGTGAAATAATTAGCATAAGATAGACCAAACCTTAGGCTTATCTACATCACCAGATTTAATATATGCAATGTATTATGTATGGTCCCTAGTAGTTTAACTTTTCATGGACTTCTTTGTTAAGAGGTATTATTTTCCATAATTTATTCAGTGTAAGTTGAAAAATATAGGCCACTTGAGTAAGCTGGGTTCATTTCATAATGTACATACTTTTAAAGATTTCGATAGTTTGCAAGGTCTTTGTAATTTTTATATGCTTCAAGGAATTCAGACAGAAGCGGGTGAGAAAAGATGAAATACTTAAGGAAATGGATACCAGCGACATCTTAGTAAGAAAATAAAAACTGCATATTACTGTCCTGTTGTCTTCATGAATTTTTGTTCTGAGTGTGTTACCTTGTTCTAGGGCGGATGTCTATGGAAAGTGAAGTCATAGAAAATAGGATGTCTATGGAGGTCACTGTTATAAGCGAAGCAACCTAGATGCCTAATATATCGATGGATAGATACTTTAAGACCAGTCATGCCTATGGCATATTTGTTAAAAAAGGGAAAATAAACAGAGACAATTCAGGGTCTATTACTAGTTTATTACCTTTGTAATTTATGGAATTGAAGGATCTAGCAAGTGCCATACTATGAAGATTTGGGAGAGAGTGGTGGAGATGAGGGTGAGAAGAGGGGTGTCCATTTCTGAGAATCAGTTTGGATTCATGCCGGGACGGTCGACGACCGAAGCCATTCATCTTATGCGAAGACTGGTAGAGAAATATAGAGAGAGGAAGAGAGACCTACATATGGTGTTCATTGACCTTGAAAAGGCCTATGACAAAGTACCGAGGAGTGTCCTCTGGAGGTGCTTGGAAGCAAAAGGTGTCCCGATGATATATATTAGGGCGATAAAGGACATGTACGGTGGAGCCAAGACTCGGGTTAGAACAGTTGGAGGTGACTCGGAACTTTTCCCAGTTGAGATGGGGTTGCACCAAGGATCAGTCCTTAGCCCTTTTCTATTTGCTTTGGTGATGGATGAGTTGACGCGGTCTATTCAGGAGAAGGTTCCGTGGTGTATGTTATTTGCGGACAACATAGTACTGATAGATGAGACGCGGGATAGAGTTAATGCGAGGTTGGAGGTGTGGAGACAAACGCTTGAGTCCAAAGGGTTCAAGTTGAGTAGGACCAAAACAGAATATTTGGGGTGCAAATTCAGTGATGCGTTGGAGGAGGCAGATATGGAAGTGAGACTTGCCACACAGATCATCCCTAAGAAAGAAAGTTTTAAGTATCTTGGGGCTGTAATCCAAGGAAGTGGCGACATCGACGATGATGTCAAACACCGCATTGGGGTTGCTTGGATGAAATGGAGGAATGCCTCTGGAGTCTTGTGTGATAAGAAAATTCCACCTAGACTTAAAGGTAAGTTCTACAGAGTGGTAGTTAGACCGGCCTTGTTGTACGGAGCGGAGTGTTGGCCAGCCAAGAACTCACATGTTCAGAAAATGCAGGTTGCGGAGATGAGGATGTTGAGATGGATGTGTGGGCACACTAGGAGTGATAAGATTAGGAATGAAGTTATCCGGGAGAAGGTGGGAGTGGCCTCTGTGGTGGACAAGCTGAGGGAAGCGAGACTGAGATGGTTTGGACATGTGAAGAGACGGTGCGAAGACGCCCCAGTGAGGAGGTGTGAGGGGCTGGTTGTAGAGGGTACGCGGAGGGGTAGAGGTAGGCCTAAGAAGTATTGGGGAGAGGTGATTAGACAGGACTTGGCTCAGTTTCACATTACCGAAGACATGACTCTAGATAGGAAGGAGTGGAGGTCGCGTATTAAGGTTGAAGGGTAGTAGGGCTAGCGTGTTATCCTTTCTTGCGAGGGTCTGGGTTGTTAGCGTGTGTAGTAGTCTTAGCGTTGCACTTGCAGTTCTTGTCTGTGATACCTATAGCCTTATGTTGTTTATCGCGTTTCACTTCTCTCATTGTGCTATTGAGGCTACTGTCTCCTCTGTTGATTATTCACTATCTTTCTTATTGGATGGTATGTTTTGTACACTGTTTTCCTCCCCTTTAACTTGGATTTGTTGTACTTGAGCTGAGGGTCTTTCGGAAACAGCCTCTCTACCTCCACGAGGTAGTGACAAGGTCTGCGTACACTCTACCCTCCCCAGACCCCACCTAGTGGGATTTCACTGGGTATGTTGTTGTTGTTGTTGTTGTAAGGATCTAGCAAGTATGTTAATCAACTGCATAAGGTGAAAATGACTGGTCTGGTTGTATTTTTAACCATGAAAGGTGGTGATAGTTGTTAAAACTCTGTTTTGTGTCACTGTGTCAGCTAGTGCACAAGAGGAAGTGCGAGTGGCCAAAGCATGACATTGTTTGTTTGCTAATCTCTATGATGGCAGTTTCTTTGCTTATATTGTTAGTGCTTACTTTCATCAAATGTGGCAGGTTTCTTCATGACAAAATGAAGCCACAAGTTGTGCATAGGGATATCCGTGCAAGCAATGTTCTTCTTGACGAAGACTTTGGCGCCCATCTAATGGGAGTTGGTCTGTCTAAGTTTGTACCATGGGAAATTATGCATGAGAGGAGAGTCATGGCAGGTGGTACTCATGGGTATCTTGCTCCGGAGTTTGTTTACAGAAATGAGCTTACTACAAAGAGTGACGTCTACAGCTTTGGAGTCCTCTTGCTTGAAATAATTAGTGGACGAAGACCAGCACAGGCAGTTGATTCTGTTGGGTGGCAAAGTATATTTGAATGGGCCACGCCTCTGGTGCAGGCTCATCGATATGTTGAACTCTTGGATCCTCTCATATCATCTTCTTCCTCTTCTCAGATTCCTGAAGTTGGAGTCATCCAAAAAGTTGTTGATCTTGTTTATTCTTGTACACAACATGTACCATCAATGCGTCCGAGGATGTCACACGTTGTCCATCAGCTACAACAATTAGCTCAGCCTCCTATTGTAAAGTAAGTGGATAAGAATTATAGTTCAGCATTTCTTTTGACTGAAATCAGCCTGCAATCTTTTATCCTAGTTGCAAGGGCTAATTGTAGTAGGCATTATTTTTAAACTTGACATTCAAGGCCTTGAGGCTTGAACCAGTCCATGATGGTTGAGATTAATACAACTACTAATCTGTATCACTAAAGCTTTTCATCTGCTGCTGCTTTGCATTGTTTACTTGTAACACCTGTATTTTTAAAATTTGTTTCTGTTTCCTGTGTTAAAATATCACTATGCATAACAACCAATTCAATAAATGTCCATGAAATCTTGCAGAAGTTTTTCCAAATGGTCTTTCTTCAAGACTTCAAAAACTGTATTTTGAAGTTCTTTCTGTTACAAATTACAATCTTTTCTAAAAAGAAAACTTAAAATATAGAAACACTTTCTTTTTGTACCAGTTAGACATTTTTCCCCAAGAAGCATCCGCAATGCCTAAACTTAGGGGTCGTTTGGTTTGAAAATGAGTTATGATGGGATAAGTTATGTTGGGATAAGTTATGTTGGGATTAGTTATGATGGGATAAGTTGTGTTGGAATTATTTTTTATTGAGTGTTTGGTTTGTTGTATTCAAAATAATAAATTTTAAGAACAATTTATTTGTTTACAAAAATGCCCTTCATTAATGTAAAAAGTGATATAACAAAAGGGTTGAAAGAGACATTTTTGTCATTTACCTATTTTATCCCGGGATAAGTTATCCCGGGATTACTATACCACCCAAAGAGAGGGATAACTTATCCCGGTACTAATTATTAATCCCGGGATAAGTTATCCCGAACTTGCCAACCAAACAACAAAATAAACGGTACTATAATTTAATCCCGGGACTATATGGTATTATCCCTCACACCAAACGAGCCCTTAGAGTTTAAACTACGAGCTAAACCAATTTTTGACACCATTTGCCACTTATATTTGCACAATATAATTTTTCAACGAAGACCCTTTCCTCCGCTTAGCCCTGGCACTGGGTGTAGGTGGGTTGAAAAGTTTTAGCGAGGTTATTGGTTAGTGTTATCTCATCATTGCATGCCATATCGCCACTTACTCGAATCAAGACTTCTGGTAAAAGGTAGTTCAAATTAAGTAACAGGCCAACTTGTTTTATTGCAAATATACATTCTCATTACTGCAACTATAGAAATTGAATGGATACATATATATACAAAATGGGATTATGAATAGCAAACTAGCCTACTAGGTTGCACTGCAAAATGCCAACTATTACAAGAGTGTCTCAAAAAATGCAAGGACAGCCATTCCAGCTGCCCAAACATCATCATCCAATACATGTTCTGCTGGAGAATGGCTGATGCCTCCACGACAACGAACAAATAGCATTCCCACCTATCGAAAAGTAGCCAATCTTTAATAAAAATAAGAAGGAAAATTACATTCAAGTGTCAATGAACCGGGTTAAAACTATGAAACACCATGGTTCAAATCTCCTATATAGGATGGAATAGTATAGGTGCACAAGGTGGCTTGGATAAGAAAACGAAAAAAGATCACGTCTGAAGTAGTAAAATACAAGGTTTGAGTATAACTCACCTTGGTTAGATGAGATATGGCCATTGCATCATGTCCTGCTCCACTCATCAGTACAGGAACATCACCTGGATCCTCACCAGTTATTCTTTTCAAAGCAGTATAAGATGCAGATTTTAGCTGTGTACTCAGGCCAGGATCGCAAACCACAGCATTTGCATCATGCTAAATCAACAAGACAAGCGTTAGTCATGAACATGCTTCAGAATACACTACATATGATCTAAGAATCTCTCACCTTTCTCTCAACGTTACAGAAGACAGAACGCCTATCACACATATGGTAGAGTCTATTAGAGAATTCATAAATTATAGCTTCTCGTCCTGAGTCATCCATCGCACGTACATCTACGGTGAATGTCACCTGTAATAAATGCACAGGTAGTAATGAACATTCTAGAAATTCGAGTACTTACCCTGTATGGATAACAAACAACATTATGTAACTTGTGTGTCAGCAGTTTAAGGAGTGCTTGCCTGGCCTGGAATGACATTACTTGCACTTGGCCAAGTTGATATCTCTCCAACAGTACAGACCAGAGATCCTGCAAGAGATTCCACTGTTGAAGATGTGCATTGACCATCATATGACAGATAATAGTCAGGTTGTTTACAAAGACTTTCCAGAAATACAATTAGTTCAGCAGCTGCAACCATAGGATCCTGTCGCATATTCATGGGTACTGTCCCTGCATGTCCTTGTGTGCCTTTCACTGTCACCTGCAATGCTTAATTCAAAAGGTCTGGTCAAGCAAGCATTACTTAAACCAAATTTATAAGTGGCTGTGTATACCAAAAGGAGATGTTAGTCGTGACAAGTGGAAGTAGCCAAGCTGTTGATTGTGCCAAGAACACATTTTCCAGGGAGATAATTTTCTCACCCTTTAGACCTCCAATTTAACTATTCCTCTCAGACTGATCAATTGATTTATTGCCCAAGGGCTTGAAATATGTTTCTTGACTTTATTAGTTGCAATCTTTAGAATTTAGCTTCAATGTACCAAAGTAAAATCCAATTCTCCCATGGCAAGGATCATCAAGATTCCAACTTGGAGTTCAAATACATCATATAAGTACTTTTTACTTTGTAACGTCATATCATCACAAAGACGAGAACTACTAGAGCGTTAAAATGTGCTCCTACTAAGTTACATTAACAAACTTAGAATAAAAGTAGATGATTTGCCGTAGAAAATTCAGACTATCTTTTTGATGCTGCGATCACATAAAGCAGCCGAGAGGCGGTAGGATAAGAATACACACCTTCAACCTTGTCTGCCCTGCAATGCCTTTTACTGAACCAAGAGGGAGACCAACATTCTCCAGTACAGGTCCCTGTTCAATGTGAACCTGCAAAAAACCATTAGAATAAGATCTATCATCAGCAACTACGTTACCAGGGGTCTTATGAAGTAGTTAGTGACTTTGATATGGTATATAGAGAACTATTATTGACCTCAACATAGCCCCAAACAGATTCTGGTTCATATTTGAGCTGCAAAAGGTTTTCTTCTGTAGTCTCTATAGAACTTGCTCTCAGAGCACCTTGCACTGTCACACCACTGAAACACTTGCACATTAATTTACTGAGACACAGTAGCTATACGAACAAAGACAAGCTTTTGGGTTAGCCATACAAACTTCTTATCATGTACTTGCAACGCTGAAACTGGTAATATGCCAGCAATAGCTGCACTGCCCAAGAAGGTTGACTGAAACCTTACTCCCTCCTCATCACTAAACGCGATTACCTGCATAATAGTACATAAGAAATTTGCAATATTTAATACTAAAAAGCAGGAGAAACTAAATATTTTATGATATATGATATTAACTCAAAATAAAAGCTGCTAGATGGAAGGAATACAAAGGAGAGTTGACAGCAATTACACATTAAGCAACTAGCACTACTATTTGTGCTGTAACACTTGCTACAACTGCTCCTTAAGCAACTTAATTTTGTCATTGCACATTAAGAAGTATATTCTTTCTGACTCCTGATAATCCTGCTACCACAAATGATCACTGGTGATATTAAATTACTTAGGTTCTTTCGCCAATATTTAGATTCTAGACAGACTATGGTGCAAAAGTGTCATAGTCTCCCCTAGAAGGTCTAATATTTTAGATTCTAGACGGACAGGATTATTTGTTAAGATATAACACAATTCTCCCTAGAAGGTCTAATTATGTCAAGTACCTGAAAATAAGGAACGTAAACTCAAATTTGCATGTTCAAGGTTATAACATTTCAAAGAGGACATAACATGCCATTTGAAGCTAGGGTTAGATGGGAAAAAGGGTGAAAATACAAAGCTCATTAGTGAGTTCATACATCTCAAAGCTGAAAGACAAGGAGATAAGGAAAAGAGAAGAAAGATGTGAGAAGTAAAACCAGGAACATTAATACATACTCCAAAACTCTAATAGATGGAATTGATATTGTCCTTGCGAAGGTTACTACTATGTCAGCAAGAATCAACTCGTATATTGTGAGAATTTTTTTAAGTGTATTACCATCGGATTCTATTTGATCATAATGAAAATTTCTTTTGGTAATACCATAGGATTCTTTGTGCACTCTCTTGCTATGTTGCTCGGACTCTCCAATAATATTGTTGTACTCGTGTCAGATCCTTCAAAAATGTCCTGTTTTTGAAGTATCTGACATGAACCTAGCGGCATTTTTGAAGAGTCCAAGCAACTAGCTCTCTTGTACTCTAGCTCCCAAGTTCCTCTCATCGGTCAACAAATTAGTTATCAAGCAACATGAGGCAGATGTGGACCTAACTGTTTGCATATTCATACTTGTGAACAAATATATACCATGAAAAGAGAGATAGCATAATGATAGAAACCCCAGGTAGTAAGGAAATATCTAACTTATTATTCAGATTTCAGCATACTAGACTATGTTAGTCAAGCCAGAGATCTAACAAGTATTAACCTCATTTTCCATCAACTTCATCGCCTCATATGCAAGTCACACTTCTAATGGAGCTTGCAACCACACACATAAGCCTCTGCGACGGATTGGTTTTAAGTGTCAACCCAAAACAAAATTGGAACAGTCTGAGACTTAGCAGTCGACACCAGAACAAAGCCCAAATTTATGGGAAAGCTCATGACTAGTACCTAAACTTTCTGGAGTTAAGTTAAAGAACAGTTACTTTTTGGAGTTCAGATTTTGTCTTTAGGAGACACAAATAAAGTACAGTGCCCCCACTCCTAAAAAATGCATTATTAGTGTGATTGAAAAAGGAAAAAACCTTCTGGTTGCAACAAAGAGTAACAGGACAGAAAACACGAAATACGATTGACATTCCAGGCTAATATGTTTTATGTGTCTCACCTCAACTGGTCGCCGGAGTTTACCCAACCTTCCAGAGGAATTCAATGCCTTTAATGCAGATATTGCACAAATTATGCCCAATGAACCATCAAAGAATCCAGCATCAATAACTGTATCCTGTTGAAACACAAAATATTCAATGGCAGGTCCTTCTGCAGCATCTTGAACTAGTAATGCTGTGAAGTTAAGCAAATCTACTATACGAAGAAGATGTAAGTAATTAATGCTTCACCAAATGAGAGCCAATTAACAAAGTCCTTTCACTTGGATTAATTCCTTCAGCCCGACCATGGACATTGCCCATTTGGTCCACCCACCTGGAACCAGGAGTGCTATCAATTAAGTTTCAGAAGCATTAAAAATACAGTAAGATAAGTCGAAAACATACGTTTTCAAGCCTGCATCTTCCATCCATGCACGAAGAAGATTTCCCGCTCTGATCGATGCAGGGCTCTGGAAGGTCCTCTCTAGGTAGCCGTTTGCATCACTTACCTGTCACACAACACAAATTTTTGTTACTTCAACACTTCTACTTATGAAAAAAACAGGATAAGAAATAGCACCAAAACAAGTAAAAACAATGAAAGCAAACTGTTATACTGCAGAAATCGGTATTTCAAGATTTGAGAACTTTCATGGATGCATAATGTATTGTACTCTAAGAAAGATAAACCTCAGTTAAAATACCAAAAAAGAAAAAAATGCTTCCCAAGAAATTTGACTTCCACTAAAAATGATTAAAGTAGTTGCCTTGCTTTGATACCTTTCCAAGCTCATTAAGTCTTCCAACAGCTTCCTCCTTGAGGATTTCAGGGAAAAGATCATACTTTATGCCTTCTATATTTTCAGCACCTAATCATCACAAAGAGCCCCACATTATTACAGATTTGAGGTATTTAGTATAAAAAGAGCAACTGAATCAAGGGGGAGTGGGGGAAGGGATGAATCTTGTTTAATGAGATGAATGGAACAGTTTTTCGCGATAAAGAACACAACTTTTGGGTTTTTGAAAGAACCAATTTTTATAGAACTTCACATTGGAAAACAACCAAACTTCTAAAAGAAACAGAATCATAGTTGTGCACATCATGTAATGTTATGATTCAAGACAGAATAAATTGAAAATGACATGAATATACAAACAAGTAGAACGTATAGGAGCTAATTTTTCCACCTTGTCAATCACTAATGCTTATGAAACAGGTAGTATAATTTCAATCTATATTGCTTAGACTCTCCAAAATTTCCCCATTCGTGTCGAATCCTTCAAAAAATGCACAACTTTTAGAGGATCCAACACGCATCCGTAGACATTTTTGAAGATTCTGAGCAACATAGATTTCAAGAACACAAAGGACCAGCTACCTAAGCAACATAGGTCACAATACAATTTCATTTTCACAATAAAGAAAACATCTTTTTTCTAAAAAGAATCAAATCAACACATAAACTTCAAGACCTAGTAACGTCAGACAGAATATACTTCAACTTTTACACGCAAGCTGTCCACCTGTAAGAAAAAAGTACAAATACTTGCAAAATCATCACATTTCCAAAGATCCTAACAGAAACATTAAAAGGGTTCCTTCATTACCCAAAAGGGTGTAAAAAAAATCAAAATTTTACATGTGAAGAAAACCAATAATTACCAAATGATGTGTTAGCCATGGCGAACAAAGGAGAAAGAAGAAGAATGAAGGATAAGATTGAAAGAGAGTTCTTCATGATTGCATGGGGAATTGGAAATGAGAATGTAATAGAAGGAGGCGCCGCCATGGCTGCTTGCTGCAAGTCTTAAAAGCAAGCGAACAAGGCCACGGCACTCCCAAATTGGAATGAAAGAAGATAAAATGAATTCAGAATGTGGAAATTCAATACAGACCACTACTATATACTCAGCTATTTACAACCTAGCAATTCATTTTCGTGGTGGAATGATAATTATTCCTTGTTACTTAAAAGTATTTAACTAGTATACATGTATTGTGTGATTAGTGGATAATATTAAGTATTTTAAAATATTTTAGATTGTAATATTTTATTACGGGTTTGAATCTCTTGAATATGAAGTCGCTTTTGTTAAAGATATGATGATATATGAACAAATTTAATTAAATTTAATATAAATATCTATTTTCGAATGGTAAGAAAAAAAAAAAACTATTTACCACCTTGTTATTTGTTGGTGACTCGTGAAGGGTTCTACTTGGCTGTATTTTTTTTTGGTTCTTTGACTATGTGGGTCCAAAATAGGACTCGGAACCCAACAAGATGCTGTGGGTCCGACAAAATATTCTACTCCCTCCGTCCCATTTTATGTGGCAACATTTGATCGGGCACGGAGTTTAAGAAATAAATGAAGACTTTAAAATGTTTACCAAATTGCCCTTTAAAAAGTAGATTCTTTTTTCTCTCTCCTCATAAATGTATTGGAGTATTATTTTAAGATTAAGTGGGACCAACAAGGATAAAAAAGGAATTGTACCTTTATAAACTTATCATATAAAGAAATTTGACATTCTTTTTGGGACTGACCAAAAAGGAAATGGTGCCACATAAAATGGGACAAAGAGAGTACTCCCTCCGTCCCTATTTACTTGTCCATATTTCCTTTTTTAGTTGTTCCTATTTAGTTGTCCATTTTGACAAATCAAGAAAGGACAACAAATTTTTTCCTATTATACCCTTATTTACACTTCTTGAAAATTGTAAAAGTGTATGTTGTTTCCCTCCAATTTATTTCACTTGAATTCAAATAAGTGGTTGTAATTTTGAAGTGAAAAGTTGTCATAAGGGTAAAATTGTAACTTCATTGTGCTAATCATTGTTGCCTTAATCTATGTGTCATTTCTAAAGTGGACAACTAAAAAGGGACGGAGGGAGTATTATTTATATTAATTAATTTATATAAAAATATAGACTGTTTCGTCATTTCTTTGTCTAAATTTTCGAGCCAGTTTGGTTGTATAATACGTACTTTGTTAAATATTTTATAATTTGATTTCTTCCTTATCTTTTATTAAATTAACGTTCTTGAAATATATGGTGAATAAATACCTTTAATACTCTATTAATTAACTAGGCATCGGAGCCCGTGCTAGCACGGCCCAAATATATATTATTTTTTGTTTCAATTTATGTGATAAAGACAAAATTAAAGAGTTAATCAAACTTTAATATTAATTTAAAATAGTTTAAATTTTTAATTATTGTTAACTATGTGTTAACTATGGTAATTTTTTTTTTATGTCTTTTAACATTCTAAATTGCTAATTATTGTTGTATGATTTGTAATATCTTTTACGCAATTTTGAAATAATAAAGGTTATTTCTTCTTTCTCAATTTATGTGGTACTAATAAAATTTCGAGATTCAATCATTTTTTTTTGTCTTTAAAATATTATATTGTTAATTACTATAAATTATTGTACTTTCTAAGTAATTTTCAAATAATATATATTATTTCATTTGTCCAATTTATGTGTCACCGATAAAATTTGAAGAGTTAATCAGATCTTTTACATATTTTTATATCTTTTGAATATTTAAGTAAATAATTATTGTGATTTATAATATTTTATACAATTATTTAAAAAAAAATTAAACAACAAACAAAACAAATTCATCATAGGAAAATTACCAAAGCATCCTTGAATACATCAATAATGGGTCTCACTTTTTGTTTTAAAAAATATGCATATTGGGAGGATATTTTTGTCCAAAGTGGAAATAGAATAAATATAAAGCATTAAAGTCTTTTAAAATTTTAAATTGTTAATTCTTATAGTATGATTTGTAATACTTTTACGTCATTTTCAAACAATAGAGGTCATTTCTTCTTTCTCAATTTATGTAGTACTAAAAAAAATTTGAGATTCAATCAATTTTTTTCGTCTTTGAAATATTTCTAGCTGTTAATTACTGTAATTTATAGTACTTTTTAAGAAATTTTCAAATAATATATATTGTTTCATTTGTCCCAATTTATGTGTCACCGGTAAAATTTGAAGAGTCAATCAGATCTTTTATATATTTTTTTTATCTTTTAAATATTTAAGTAATTAATTATCGTGATTCATAATATTTTATACAATTATTTAGTATAGTAAAATAAATTTAAAAGAAACAAACAAAACGAATTCATCATAGGAAATTACCAAAGCATCCTTCAATACATCAATAATGGGTCCGACTTTTTGTTTTTAAGAAATTGCACATTCGAAGGATATTTTTGTCCAAAGTGAAAATATTGTGTAAAAAATGTGTATTTATTGTGATTTTGAATGTTTTGTGGGGTAATAGGACGCACGCAAAGTTAAGGTGTCTTTTTGAAAATCTGGGACAACTTCAAGTATCACTTAATGTTTTTTCTCAAAATCTAATTTACTTCCGTAAACTATGTGTCAGATCAAAATCAGATTAACAAATTCAAAAGGAATGAGTAATAAATAGCTCATACAATGACATATTTATTACTTAACTAAATAATAAATATGTAACTAAAAATCTTGTTAGCTTTTGGTTGAAAGCTAACAAGATAGTTACAATGATAGTTGCATTGTGGCTTATTATATATATATATATATATATACTAGAAGAAGCAAAATCATTTCAAAGATGAATTTATTGACACATATTACTCACATCTTGTCCTTAAAAGTAACAAAAAAGTCAAAAATGTTCTCTTCTTGTGCTTTCTCAAAGTCTAATACAATGATTGTCACAATGAAAAAAGAAAAATAAACGTCAAGAGTATACTCACACCTTGATTTCAATATTATATTGAAGTTCAATTAAACTAAATTTATGTTGAGAATTTAATTTTTAAGATAAAAATATTTTATATTAAAAACGATTTTATTTTAAGAGCTCAAATCTAAGACTTATGAATTTTGAATGTATTTCTTCTATCTACCTCCTTTTCTAAGGTAAATATTCCAACTATGAAAAAGGCATATTGTACTCCGGTCAAATTATAAATAAAATTCCTCTAGAATATACTATCAAAGAAATCAATGCCCCTTGGAAAGAAACCATGCAAAAGCTTTAATCAGCAGTATATATAATATCTGGTTATTATTTTTTTTGGGTGATATAAAGTAAATCCTATTATAATATAATACCTCACAAAGACGCAAGCCACAGTTCAAGAGAAGTAAATTGCATCAAGTAACCTTCATATAATCAACTCGATCGAAAAAATATGCGAAGGAAATTTGTGTTCGAAATTTAAAAAGTCTAGCAAACTTTCTTAAAATTTAGTTTGCCTTTTGATATCGTGTAAACTAAATTTACCTTTTTGAGTTACAAAACTTGTAAAGTGCAACTAAAAACGTGCCTATATTTTATTTATAACATACGCCTCATTATAAATGGATCAAAAACGTAATTTCCACTTGAACATTACTAATATCGATGTTTGAATATTGATTTGGTTTGAAATTTAATAGGAAAAAAAGTATTTGAAATTAACGTTAAAAAATGATATTTGAGAGTGAAACGTTATATTGTTTGTACATGAATTTCACTAAAAAAAAAATAATGATGAAGTTTCGTGAGTGAAATTCATTATTTCACTTGAAATACTTCTCAAACTGATTATTAATTCTTTGATGATTCAGATTCTCTATTCTAAATTGAAACTACATAATGGATCACTAATTAACAAATACATTTATCAAAGACAAAATTAATCCATAAAAATATAGCTCGATCGCCCGACCATCGCATACATACATATTTGGTCGGATCAATAATTAGCGCATGAAGATAAGATCCGCCCAACTCGTGCAAGTTTGGACAGATCGATGCATTTTTACCATCCTAATTCAGATTATCTAAACATTAACTTGACACATAGCTCAAATTAATTCATGAGAAATCTTATCAAAATAAAAATATTTTGAATTTTTTTATTTGATAATGTTTATATATATCTATAATAAAGAGAGAGAAATATTATGTATTTATAAATCATATAAGAACAAACAAAGAAATTAAAATTTTATGTTATGATTCACCTTTTAACTCATTCAACCTAAGTAACTTTTAAACAAGCTAGTCATTGATTCATGGGAAAAAGGATAAATATACCCATGAACTATCGTAAATGATATATATGCATATATCCTCCGTCATATTTTTGAGACATTAATGTCCTTGCCATTCAAAAACTAGAGCATATATACCCTTTATACTAATGGAGATATACGTGTCATAATCTTATCTACCGACCCGACATTTATTAAATATTGGATCAATGGATAAGATTATTGTGTCACGTGTCCCTATTTATTTAGTCTTCCGTTAGAGTGAAGGGCATATATGCTTTAGTTTTTGGATGGTAGCGGCACCAATGTCTCAAAAATATGACGGAGGATATATGCATACCATTTACGATAATTTAGGGATATATTTGTCAGTTTTCTCTGGATTCATCCATTTATTAACTTATCCCTCTTTTATAACCCATATAACTCAATCACGCCTATATAACACCTCTAATTAAGCGTGAAGGAAAGTGTCTTTGTCACAAAGCTATTAGAGAGGCAGACATTGGCCCATATTACTTTATTAGTATTTGACAAAAGTAAGAAGCACTTGTTGTGAAATGTTGGGTAGTTGGTGAGTATGTTGATGTAAACCTCTTTGGCCACTTGTTTTTAGTTAGTCCAACGACTGCAACTCCTTTCAGAATCTCTGTCGTCTTGGTACCCTCCTCCCCCCCCCCCCCAACCCCCCAATTAAAAGACAGTAGAAGTTGGTAAAAACCCAAGAAATGTAACGTATTCGAAATATACTGGCATGACTGTTTTAAAATCAAGTTATATGAACTAG